TTCTCGTCTCAGCTGAGGAGGCTTGCCATCCTCACTAAGAAAAGATCTCGGAGTCAAAGATATCCCACATTGGACATATGGAAGCTGGCACGGCCAACCACACACCCCCAGGAAAAGAGCAGCAGTTCACACAGGAGGCAAAAAGTGGCCTAAGAAAGTCTCCTCCCCTAGCCCATCAAAGGTTGGTTCCCAGCGTCCAGGGAGAAAAAGTGCTGAGGGCAGGTCAAAAAATGAAGAATGTATACGTAATTGTTGGCCAGACGCTAGGAAGATCGGGCCAATGAATCAATCTATTAACAGATCAGGGAGTTTACACAGAAAGGGGCTGGGAGGAGGAAGCCCAGAAGGGTGGTAACAATCCCAATCAGCAATTTCCTGGATCCCACTGGTCTACCAGTTACCCTCACTCAACCACACTTACAACACTGTCCCTTAATACCAGCAGGCTGCTGAAGTCACTCCAGAATCATTACAGGACACACGAAAACGAACTTAGACTTGCACAGCCACTGATGACTTATCCATGTAGCTTTAAATAGATACCTATCTTTCTCTCATCTTATTTCCTTCGGTCACAGACCCACACAGAGGTGGTGCCTGGCTCTATACATTCGTGAGTGCAGGAACAAACTCAGAGGAATCTCTACATCTTGGCGGTTAAAATGCTGCTTCTTAAAGGAGGAGAGTCGTGGCCACGTTCAGCTGAGCCTGGTGTTACAGGCTGGACTGTGTGCCTCTCCAACTCAAACTCTAAAGTACGGCTGGTGTTGTGATGCAGCAGGTTAAGCTACTGTTTGCAGCGCTGGCATCCCACATTAAAGTGCTAGTTGGAATCCTGGCTGCTCTACTTCTCTGGTCCACTTCTGCTAATGTACCTGGGAAGGCAGCAGAAGATGGTCCAAGCACTTGGGCCCCTGAAACCCATGTGAGAGACCTGGATGGAGTTGCTGGATCCTGGCTTTGGTCTGACCCAGACCCTGATGTTGCAGCCATTTGCAGAGTGAACCAATGGACAGAAGATCTCTCTCACTCTCACTCTCTCATGCTGCTTTTCAAATAAATAAACCTTTAAAAAAAGGGGGGTGGGGCAGTGCTGTGGCACAGCAGGGTAAAGCCCTGGCCTGAAGTGTCAGCATCCCATATGGGCACCAGTTCTAGTCCTGGCTGCTCCTCTTCTGATCCGGCTCTCTGCTATGGCCTGGGAAAGCAGTAGAAGATGGTCCAAGTCCTTGGGCCCCTGCATCTGCATGGAAGATCCAGAAGAAGCTCCTGGCTCCTGACTTCAAATTGGCGCAGCTCTGGCCATTGAGGCCATTTGGGGAGTGAACCAGAGGATAGAAGACTTCTCTCTCTCTCTCTCTGTCTCTACCTCTACCTCTCTAACTCTTTCAAATAAATAAAATCTTAAAAAAAAAAAAAAATCTCACTCCTTAATCCCTAATAATGTAACCACGTTTCAAGATGGCATCTTTGAAGAAGTGATTAAGTTACAATGAGGCCACTAGGATGGAGCCCTAATCCAATATGATTGGTGTCTTGATTAAAAGAAGAGACCTCAGGGGCACAAGTACACAGACAGCTGGCCAACCTTATAGAAAGGCAGCAACTGGGCAGTCACCTGGAAGCCGAGTAGAAGCCTTAGGAGAAATCAACCCTGCCAGCACCTTGATCTTGGACTTCCAGTTTCCAGAACTGTGAGAAAACAAACACCTGCTGTTCAAGCCACCCAAGTCTGTCTTATTTTGTCCTGGCAGCCCTAGAAAATGAACACAGGCGGTCTACTTGAAAACCACTCATGTTTTCCAAATCAGAGAGAAACAGTATAGATGGCAGAGGACACAGGCCTCCTAACCTTGGCTGTCATCACAGTTCAAAAGTACCTCCCTCCTTGCTCTCACCTCTCACAGTGTAGCACAGCCAAGACAAAGACAATCTCATGACCCCAGGTCACTGGCAAATACTGGCCGACTGGGGCCTTGGGGTTGAGGCAGTCTACAAGGACAGGGCAGCCCTAAGTAGCTCCCAGGCCGCAGGCAGGGAGTGATCAACTCCTTGTATGAGTTCTGATTAATCAGCAAGGGCTTGCTGTAATTCCAGAGAGAGGGGACAAGAGGACCAACGGCAGAGTGAGGCAGCCACCAGCAGACTCACGGGTTTGCTGAAGCAACTGTGACCATCTGCCTTTGGTTGGGAAATCCCTACCCTCTAGGTTCCACCTAGTGTTCTGTTCCCCTCCTCTCAATCCTTGCACTCCCAGCTCTTGGTAGGCCTTAGGCTTCCCACTGAGTGTAAGGTTAGCAGAACCATTCCCCTGGGACCAAAGAAGAGGTGGACTCCAATGCTTACTGCTCCTCCGGGGCCCAGACACACCAAGCCAATCATCCTTGGAAGGGCAGACAGGACCCGGGGCTCTCCATGCTGGCAGGAGGAGCCAAGAGGGCCTTTGAGAGCTACCTGGAGGCCCTGTCTGCAGGGGCTGGGAGAACTTGCAGAGGGGACTGTCAGGGGCCTCCACTTTTCCAGGGATGGCAGGGTAGGCCAGAGCAGCCAGTTCAAATGCAGAAGCCCTAGGCAGAGAATGACTGAGGGACTTTCAGGATTCACAGCCACCCTTCCAGCTCCAGCTAAGGCCTGCTGGTCCCCTTCCTGTCTCTTCAGTCACGGGCCAGGAGCTTATTTACACGTGGGGGTGTTTACACAGTGCAGAGCCATGGCCAGCCAAGAAGCACACAAACCTCAAACCTGGAGCCTCCCTGTCCCAACCTCACTGACTGAACCACGGAAGGAAAGTGGAACCAGAGCTCTGTCCATGGGGACAGACTGGAGTCCTGTTAGGCCAGCTTTGCAGCAACACCCTACCCCTCCACTTGGCCCATTGTGGACGGGGCTTGGAGCTGGCAGGAGCCGGCACATGCTCGGGGGGGACAACGCCCGGGCTGGAGTTCTAGCTCCCAGCTCCACAGCGCATGCCCCACCTCACCTCCAGTATTTTTCTGCTGGAACCAAACAGCTTGACCTGTCCCCAGCCAGCTCAATGAGGCCAATGTGGGAAAGCACAGGGCACACTTCTAGACTGTCAAAGACACCCTCTTCGTTATTCTCTGCAAGGTTAGTGGAGACAAAAACCAAACCAAATGAAACCAAATCAAAAGAAACCAAAATCCCTTTCATATAGATGTGACAGCCCAAGGAGCAGAGAACGCCACTTGTGGCCACTCAGCCGCTGCAACCACGGCCAGCCCCAGTCCAGCGTTCACATTTACTACCTTGGAAATTTCCGTTCCAACTGCCCCTCCTCATCTGTGCGTGACTCGGCAATGCTGGGTAAGAGGGGTCTGGGCCTGTCTGGGGGCTGGGGACACCCAAGGACATGGGGTCAAGGCACCCTACGACGTCTTCCGCAAAGCCTAAGCTGTCTGTCCTTGTCTCCCTCTTTTGATTTGTTTGGTTTAAAATATTTAACCCGAGGCACGATGAAGTGTCTCGTTTGCAGCGTGCTCCTGGACCATTAGACTGGGACTGCGCGCTCATTATGCTGATGAACGCACTACTTAGCCATGCAAATTCCAGGAGCGGCAGGCTCTGAGAGGGGCACTGTTCAAGGTACGCCATCGAGGGCTGATTTAATTACACAGCCATTCAGTGGGCCAAGCAGAGCAATTTTTAGCCAACTGTTCTAGTAAATATTATGGGAAACCCTGTTACAGAGTGCTAATTCTGGCTCAGCGTTCTCACGTGTGCCCAGTTTCAGCTCTCATTCAAGCATGCACAGGGGTCCCCAAAGATGCTACTGCGGTGGCCAGACAATCGCACAGATATTGCATTAGCTCCATGCCATCCTGCAGTTGATTATCAATTTCCTAAACATTATAAACATCTGAGCACCACGGTCACCTACCTAGAAGAGGGGACATGAACTTTAAAAAACAAAACAAAACAAAACAAAACAAAAAAAACAGCCCTGGGCCGGCTTTCCTGTGTCTCTCCCTTCCCCATGTCTCCCAGGGACTCTGCCAACTGCTCCCAGCTCCCGGGCCGGCTTCGGGGCGGGTTGTCAGATGACACTGCTCTTTTCAGTTTGACAAAACAACCACTGCAAACTCAACAATACCCAACCGTGCACCCACGCTCTCGGGCCGCCCCGTAGGAAATGGCATCATCACTTTCATTTTACTCCCTCTGCTACAGACCAAGCAAAACAACACATCCTGAGACAATTGTCAGGGTATCTGATGGCGGCGGGGCGGCCGGGAGGGTCCGCTCCCGCTCCCCGGATGTTATCTAGTGACCTGTGGCAGCAATGAACCACCAGGAGCTGCCAGAACCCTCGGCGGCACACGCACGTTCGCCACCCTCTCTCCCAGTGCAGACGCGGATTTCACTTTGCACAGTTGGAACCGAAACTCTCACGCATCCCCGTTTCTTCAGAAAACTCTATAAATAACCCAGGATCAGCAAAATTATGCAAAACATCCTGCTAGGAGAAGAAATGTAAACTAAAACCACTTACAGAGACTCAGGCTGCCAACTTAATCTGATGCTACGACGACTGTAAACATGCTGTACTTTTGGAACCTGAAGCGATCCACATTAGCACGGATGCCACGGCAGAAAAGAAAAAAAAATCTACAAAGGACAAAAAAAAAAATCGCAACGAGCAAACAACAACAACCAAAGCTCCAACGCAGAGCAACGTGATTCAGTATTCTGCACAGTGCACGACCCCGACGGCTGACCAGCTGCAGTCACTACCAGCTATCTCGCCTGCACACGCCAACTGTTTTGACTACAGGCACTTGTTAAACACAGAGTTTCAGGTCCTACCAGTTGGACACCAGAAGTTCATAGAACTGACCCAGTGCCAAGAACAACAGGCTCAGAAAGCGAAACGGCTGCCTTGTGCGAGTGTTTTTGTTAACTGTTTATGCGAGCCCCGAAGCAACTGGGTAACAATTAAGAATAAAAAAGAACTTAAATAACAAAAGCAAAAAGATTACCACCTTGAAGGAAATGTAGATGTTGGCAGATAAAGGACCCACGTCAAGCTACTTTATTGGTAGGGTGCGGGGGAGGGGAGGTGTCACATGACACGCTGCGTTTATTAGCAGGAGGCAATGAGTGCTTCCTTGATGCATCTTTTACTAAGAGATTGACAAGAGATTTGCAAACCAGAGGGTGACGGCAGCAGTGCGGGAATTTGGAAGTGGTGAAAAGCCCGTAGGAGAAAAAAGGGACGTTACTGAATTGAGTTTCTGTAGACGCAAGAAAGGAATTCCAAGTCCCCTCTCAGCGTGTAGTGGGGCCACTGAGACACACAGCAATCCTCCAGAATCTGGCCTGGGGGTAGGGGACAGCGTCCCCAGGCCGTTTACTGACCCTGCTGGCCAGAATCCTAGGAAAGGGGACCAGCTTTCACCCTGATCTGGACCGGAGTCTCTATGCTTGCTGCCATACTGGTGACAGCACATTCTTTCCACCTGGAAAGATGAAAATGGACACTTGAATTGCTTATCTAGCAAAGTTTTCCATTTCTTAGAATCCAGACAATTAGCTAGGTGAAAAATGTAGAGTTCTCTGAGGATTTGAGAATGTGGAGTCCTGCGAGAACTGGGAGGTAGATGTAAGAGTGAGAAATAATCTGTCCTGGATGGACTTAAACCTAGTGCCCAATCTGCCCTATCTCTCTCTCTCTCTCTCTCTCTCATCCATCCATCCATCCGTCCATCCATCCATCTTATCATCTACTGATCTGATTTAATGACTGTTAGTAAAATGGAGCAGTCCTGATGCCATCCTAGGCTCTAGCCCCCCCCCCCCCCCCATTGCTGGAAGCCAGGTAGCCACATGGCCCAACTACCGCTGTCAGCCCCACCCCCATCCTAATGGGATTTGCTGCTCCTACTTCCCTGTCCCCCCCCCCAAAGTTTTAAAAGGACCTGCTCCTGAGCATGTGGCTCTCTTTCTCTCCATCTCCTGGTCTCTGTCTGTCTCTGGATCTCTCTCTTATGTTCTTCTTTTTCCTTCTTCACCCCTTCCCTCCAGTCAATCAGGTTTCTCCCAATAAACGCTTTCCCTTACTCTGGTGTTTGGTGTGTTTTGTGGCGGCCTTACAAGACTAAAATGTTTCCCCTTCTCCACTCAACGAGAGTTGGGTAAATTAATGATTAAGTAGAAACAGGTTGTTTGAAGAAACCACTGTAACCATGTGCCAGAAGCATGCTTATCCTGGAGAGAGAGTCGCTCCTCTGGCTTCAGGGGTCACCAGGGGTATGGTGGTGAACAGGAACCCACACAGTGGCTGCCCCTTTCCTCCCAAAGGAACCCACATTTCTCTGCACACTGTAGACATTATTTCACTGGGATCTGAAACGGAGCCCCCTAGAGTGAAATGCAGCAGTTGCCACACAGAGAGGTCACTAACAGAATCACACGGGCTGCTCTGATCTGAGAGTCTGGGACAAAGGAAGGAGAAGAGGGGGAAGCAGGTGTGGGGTGGAGAGAGAGGAAGGCAGAGGGATGCAGTGCGAGAGAAGGCTCACTTCCCATGAAGTGAGTCCACAACCAGCTCCTGCCTCATGGCGGGCAACGGACAGGTTAAAGTGGCCCCAGAACAGCCTTGCACTTAGAGTTCCACTGTTGGGGTCGGGTCGGGGGTTGAGCTGGTGGTTAAGAGGCCTGTGTCCCACATCAGCGCCTGCTTTTGATTCCAGGCTCTTGACTCCAGCTTCCTACTAATGCAGACACCGGGAGGCAGTGGTTGATGGAGCAAGTAGTTGGGGGGTCCTGCCACTTATGTGGGAGACTTGGACTGAGTTCCTAGCTCCCACTTGTGGGCATTTGGCATTTGGGGGAGTGAACCAACAGACAGGAGCTCTGTGTGCCTGCCTCTCAAAACAAACAAAACTAAAAAGCCTGTACTGTTTGTATGTCTCATTTTAGCATACTGTATTACTGGGTTCTCAGAAACATCCTGTGAGATGGGAAGAGCTGCTGTTATCATCCCCATTTTTTAAAAAAAAAGATTTATTTATTTGAAAGGCAGAGTTACAGAGAGGCAGAGAGAGAGAGAGAGAAAGAGAGAGTGAGAGAGAGGTCTTCCATCCGCTGGTGCACTCCCCAGATGGCTGCAATGGCTGGAGCTGTGGCGATCCAAAGCCAGGAGCCAGGAGCCAGGAGCCTCTTCCAGGTCTTGCACGCTGGTGCAGGGGCCCAAGGACTTGGGCCATCTTCTACTGCCTTCCCAGGCCACAGCAGAGAGCTGGATTGGAAGTGGAGCAGCCGGGATGGGAACCGGCACCCATATGGGATGCTGGCACTGCAGGCAGCAGCTTTATCCACTATACCACAGTGTCAGCACCCACCCCCATTTTTTTTAATAAATTCAAAAAATTTTTTAAAGATTTGTTTTATATTTTATTTATTTGAAAGGCAGAGTTAGAGAGAGACAGAGAGATCTTCTATCCACTGGTTCTCTCCCCCAAATGACTGCAATGGCCAGGGCTGGGCCAAGTAAAAGCCAGGAGATTCATCCTGGTTTCCCATGTGGCTTCAGGGGCCCAAGGGCTTGGGCCATCTTCTGCTGCTGTCTCAAGCACATTAGCAGGGAGCTGGATTGGAAACAGCCCAGCCTTGAACTGGTGTCCATGTGGGATACTGGCATTGAAGGCAGCAGCTTAATTTGCTGTGCCACAATGCTGGCCCCATATCATCCCCATTTGACAAAGAAGGAAAACCGAGGTTCAGGGAAACTTGTGACTTTTCCAAGGTCATGTGGTCAGGAAAGCTTTAAATGTCCAGTCCTAGGTCTTAGCCGCACAAACAATGACTTGCTGGGTACAGGGTTTTATTAGTAGCAAAGCACTTTAAAAGGGGTGAGCTTTACTTTTCCCATTTTCCTAGACAAGTAAACAGACTTGGAGAGGCTACGTGATTTGGCAGGGCCATTGGGCAAACCATAAACAGCACCAGATCTCCCAACTCCGGGCCCAGCCCTCCTTGCTTACCTCTATCATGTTTCTAGAAAACAGAATGATGGTACTAAAAGGTCAGCGAAGTCGCCTGCTTGTAAAAGCATGGCGTCTCTCCTGGTTTTCTGCTGGTCTTCCTGGCTTCTCTGCATCAGTTCCGAGAGGAGCCTTCCTGTCCCTGCTGTGGAGCGAGTGCTAGACACCTGCGCTCTAGGACAGCTATGTCAGTGGAAAGCAACCACCTCCACTGAGTGGGCACCCTGTCCTTCTCTGATCTGATCGATTCACTCACTGGCCAGTCCCTGGCTTCTCACCCAGTCCTACTCCGAGCAGCAGCCAGAGCAGAATGTCCCAGGAGACCTGCCAGACTGTACGTTAGGTGGCTTGTATGCTCAAGGCATGCAGCACGCGCACGTGTGTGTGAGTGTGTGTGTGTGTGTGTGTGTGTAAGGGATCTGACCTGCTGCAGTTCTGCTGGGCTTGCTGGAGGTAGGAGGGTGGGGGGTGGTCTCTTCCCCAACACGTGCCTTGGCTGAGTTCATTTGCACCAGAGGCTGCTGAAAATGCTGGACCCAGTGCAAGTTCCCATGACATATTCCCTTCTTTACGTCAGCACTTGAATGGGGAGGGTATCACTATTATATGATACTCCTGAGCAGGTTCTTGGCAGGTTTTTTTTGGTCATTCCCTCTGAGGGGACATGGATGTGGGTGACTGCAGATGGCCAGCAGATTTGGAGGGGTGAGCAGAGCCGTTAGTTGGGAAGTGAAGACTCAAGGCCATGACTAGAGATGCCGAATGTGGAATGCAGGAGGGGAGCCTGTCAGGAGGTGATGATTCGGATGCTCTAGAATATTCTGCCACCTTGTTGGGAACCTGTCACTGCTCTGTATTTTTCCCTGAAAACAACACACACACACACACACACACACACACACACAGACCCAAGGGCCAGGGAAGCTGAGGGTCAAAATGGACGTTAAGGTGACTGTCACTCAAGCAGCCTAGGCATGAAAAGTCATCAAATCTCTGTGCTCCTGCTGACTGCACGCCCTCTGAGGCTGGATAGGACGTCTAGATGTCGCCTCTTGCTGCTTGTAAACATGCACGCTGAGGAGTTATTTAAGGCTGCTTTGGTAAGCATATGACATTTGCACCCATGCTGCCTGAAAGAATACGGCAGTGTGTAAATCAGCACTGTCTTGGCAGGCATGTCGTCCGCTTATAAGACATGAAGTGAGCAGAATATTTCAGGTAGCCCGTGACTCTTCACAGCATACAGACCCTTTTAAAAATGATCTGACGACAAGCAGCAGCGTATGAACATCTAGGGAAGACAGGGTGAGCTTTTAAAAGCAGAACTGCTGGGACTTCACGAGACATGGCCGTCAGATGGAACAGTATCAGGAATGTGTTGTAATCAGTTACCGGTGTGCTTAGCAAAGGCGGTTCAGCCACAGACCAGACCAGCACTGCTTCGCTGATGCAGACAGAGAAGCGGGCCTGGGAGATGCTCCTGAGCGCTGTACAGTCAGCCCTGGAGGATGTAGCATTGATGGAGACACAACCGGGTCCTGGCCCCATACTCCAGACACATGAACTTATCTCAGCCAAGGGAACTGCATCAGAGCAACACACACCAAGGAAGAAGCTGGCCAGGGACCGGTATGGGCTTTTCAGAATGGTCTGGATGTATGCAAAACTGGTCACAAAGAGGATGAAGCCAAGAAAGGATGGAGGCCTGAGCTGCAGGAGACGGAGAGCCAGAGCACGCGGTCAGCCCTGGTGGCTACCCTCAGCTGCAGGCTTGCCTTCAGTCGGTACCCACACTTGGCTCAACACCCTTTCCTTTTGTTCTGTACCCGGGTTCACGGAGACTAAGCCCGTGTGCCTGACACATCTGTGACTAGCTTTTGGCTCTACTGCTTTGAGATGCGGATCCACAACCTGAACTGCTGTAACTGATGTCACAGGGTCAGTTCTGCACATAGGGGTCAGTTCTGCACATAGTCTGGATTTTTCTGGAGAGTACTGATTTCAACCAGCCTAAGCCAGTACTTCACAATGGTTGAAAAATTACTTCATGGTGGAAATCAGTGAATGTGAGTTGGCAGGTATTGAGACCCCTGGGTTGAAGTGCCTCATAGGCCCCTTCTGAGTCTCATCTTTCATTGTAGGTCAATGCATTGAATGAATGAATGAAGTCTGTTTCAATCTGAATTCCAAATAAAAAAAGGCTATCTTATTAGCTATATCTGGAAAGTGAACATCTTTATACGAAGTATGTGTAAAAGTTGGAGTTCAACAACAGTTGTCTGTCTTAGGGAGAAGGCAGAAAAGCTTTCCATTTACAATTTAAGCACCGGATAGCAAAAACACACATGGCCACTACAGAACAGGAAACTGTCCAGGAGAGCTTCACTCCACGGCACCTGGGCTTCTTAAACAGCATACTCTGAATTTTATCAGATCCTCTTTCTATAACTTAAGCTCAGTGCTGGGGCTGGCACTGCCCACAGCACTGGGGCTGGCACAATGGGTTAAGCCACTACCAGTGATGCTGGCATTCGATGTAAGCACCAGTTCGAGTCCTGGCTGCTTTATTCCATTGCTCTACTACGGGTCCAGCTCCCTGCTAATGCTCCTGGGAAAGCGGCAGAAAATGGCTCAAGTACTTGCACCCTGCCATCCATGTGGGAGACCCAGATGGAGTTCCTGGCTCCTGGTTTCACCCTGGACCAGACCAAGCCATGTTGTCCATTTGGGGAGTGAACCAGTGAGTGGAAGATCCCCCCCCCG